TTCGAGTCCGTTCAGAGGACCGAAGACGTTGGTGTCGAATGTCTGGTTCATCAGCTATAGCTAGGTATGCAGATGAAATGAATCACCTTCTTCCAGTACTCGGCATCAGCCCATGGTTTTAGTCGTCCTGCCAGCTCACTCTGCGCTTTGTATGATTTTCCGGCATTGAGAACAACAAGATCGAGGTCGTTGAATGTCGAGCGGATCTGCTTTGCGATGTCCTTCCAGGCGTCCCGGTTACCAACGTCGATAGTGTAGGTCTCTGTTTTCACAGAGGAGCCAAGAGCAGACAGCTCATTTTTGGCTTTTTCCAGATTGGCAGTGTCGATATCGAGGAGCGCCAGGTGCATGCCTTTGGTGCGGCATACTCTGGCGATGGCGAAGCCGACGCCGGATGCTGCACCGGTGATGAGGGCAGTTTTCTGGGGTTGGAATATGGCAGCCATTGTGTAGCTGTTTGATGGAATCTGATAGGAGAAATCAGGGAGGATAGAGGGTTTCTGATATGTGTTTATATGTGATCATCTTGTACCCCGCATCGTCATCAACGGAAATAGCGGAGTTAGTCTCGTTGCCCTTGTACCGTGGAAGATGATCTTCAGAGCCATATTAGCATCTATATCGAGAGGTCTATTTTGATCAATTCCCTAGGGTTAAGTAAACTCATATCTAAATGGTGAAGAATGCGCTCAAGGCTTCTGATCAAAAGGAGGTTCAGGATCAGGATGTCCTCAGCCAAGCTTCCTATGACCCTGGATCAACGGTTGAATTGGAATTGCGGGGAATGGATGCATCATCATCCTGCATGGATAAATTATTGCCGAGTCCTTCATCCTGCAGGCTGAGCCCATTTTACCCGTTTAGCCTGTGGAGCAATCAGGGGACAATCCGGGGTAACGGAGTATTCCTTGGCCATGAGTCTCTATTTAAACGAGCTCCTCCTCGATGCAAGGCCATCCTTGCAGTACGAGAAAGTTAGGTTGAAGTTGGCTGAACCTGAGGCGCAAAATGGCTTTCTTCCTGTCTAGGGCAGTAGCTGCTCTTCTTCTACTCCTCCAATTCAGCACTGTCTGGTCACGGCCCCTAGACATATCCCTTGGCGGCAATGCGGGTTCAAGTCGTAGATCTCACTGGGTGGATATATGGACGACCATGCCGCAACTTGTCGAGCCCTCCAATCTGCCTCCTGCTCCATACGTGAGTCTATCTTAACCTGCAATAATTCATCTAATGCGAATAGAACTCATCGACCTCGGTTTTCAACAATTCCACCATCCGTCAGACCATCCACGTCACGCTCGATGCAGACAGCATCCGCCTGCGACTCTCAAATGCCTTCGGATTGAACGATCTGGCAATCACCAGCGTCGCGATTGGCCTACCAGTCGATCAAAAGACAGGAACAAGCGCTCTCATACCAGGATCAAGCAAAAAAGTCCTCTTCAGCGGCAACGAAGATATCACCATTCCGAAGGGAGCACTGGTCGTTTCAGACCCCATCGATTTCCCTGTCACGGCGCAGTCGACTCTTCTGATCGATATCTACCTTGCTCAAGGGCAGCAGGGAAATGCCATCACCGGACACCCAGGAAGCAGAACGACCTCCTGGCTGTCCTTTGGGAACTACGTCGGGGCGAATAATCTGACCGATCTGTCGGTGATGAGCGTGGATCATTGGTAAGCTCCAAATTCGTACTACATACCCAGCTAATGCAGCACAGGTACTTCATCAGCGCCGTTGAAGCGTCTTTACCTCCCTACGCGCGCAGCTTCGCTATCATCGGCGACAGCATCACCGACGGCAGGGGAAGCGACACCAACGGCAACAATCGGTGCGTTCTCGTTCATGCGCCATAGTCGATGTGAATCTAGCTAATGATGCAGATGGCCCGATCTCCTCCTCGCCCGAATGCAACAATACCGCTCAACCTCCTCCATCGCCCTCCTCAACCAAGCCGCCGGCGGCAACCGTATCCTCGCCGACGGGCTAGGCCCCAACGTCCTCAGCCGGCTTGACCGCGACGTCCTCGCGCACTCGGGCGTGCGCTACGCCATGATCTTCGAGGGGGTGAACGACATCGGCGTGGCGAGCGCTGACCCCGCATCCCAGAAGCGCATCGGGGATGGACTGCTCGTTGCGTTTAGGCAGATCGCGACGAGGGTGCATGCGGCTGGGATACCGATCTTCGGGGCGACGATCACGCCGTTTGGGACGCCGGTGGGGTCGAACTATACGCAGCCGTACTCGAGTGATGAGCGGGAGAAAACGAGGCAGCGGGTGAATGAGTTTATTCGGAGCAGTGGCGTTTTCGATGCGGTGCTGGATTTTGATAAGGTGTTGAGAGATCCGAGGGCGCCGGGGGTGTTGGCCGAGGAGTTTGATTCGGGGGATCATTTGCATCCGAATGTTAGGGGGTATCAGGCGCTGGCGGATCACTTTCCCTTGGAGGTTTTTGATCGGTTTAATTGGTAGTGAGCGTGCTTGTTCATTGATCAAGTTGATATATATCTAGCATCTACGCGACTATCGTCGTTAGGGTACAAAGACAGATCCATTGCAATGGCTATCCCATCCCTTGGGCGACGTAAATACTGGGGCCACGCTGTTGTTCAGTGCCAGGTTGACCAGGGTATTCCCTGTTACTGTTAGATTTGTCCAGTCTGTCCAGTTCATCAGAGATCACTCACCGTGAGGTTTGTAGCCAGGCCATCCATACTTCCGCAATCCGTTGCGAGGATCTCTAGCAAAGGCAACCCATGCACCTAGCCATGTTAGTCATGGTCTCCAGGTCGAACCTGGCATCACCTACCTTGGATGTATCGGCTAGCTTTCACCTCCTGCGGAGTAGAAGGAATACTCAATGGGGACATGTTATACGTTCCAAACACGATAGGGACCTCGCCTAACCTTTGTTAGTTATGGCACCTTCTCGTCCCGAGATACTCACTTGAATGGTACGCCCCAAGCCACGGCACCGGACTCAGATTGCTCCAGTTGCCGTGGTACAAATACCTCCATGTCGGAATCCCTTGTTCAACCTTAAGTCTGTGGTCGTTAGCTCAGATTCAACCCTGGAAACCTTAAGAGACATACAAAGCAGAGTGCTGAACAGGACAGTTGAACGTCGTCTGTGTCGTCGCAAAGATCGCCGTCTCGTTGATCGACGCAGAGCTAAGATTGAACCACGCCGCGCCCTCGCGCACAGTGTTGCCGATGAGAGCGGGCTGGACACGTCATGTCAGATCTGTCCAAATCGAGAGAAGGAGTTACGTACCACACGCGCGCATTTGCCTTCCTTAGCTCGCGCGGCGTAATCCGCAAATACGGTGACGTTGTCTTGCACCGGGGCGAAATTGTATGAGCCTGAGGATAGCTCGGTGAGGATTTGCTTGAATGGCTTCCCCTGCATGCAGCGCAGTGTTCCCCTGCCGGATCCACAGCCAAGGGCGGTCGATAGCTTATCCCAGTTTTGGTGGGTGGTGTCAGCGCTGGTGATTATGTCTGCTGCGCCGGATTCGATGGCGACGGCGTGCACAAGCGGATTGTCGGGGTACTACGCTGTAGTTAGATTTGCTGTTAGAATGATGAGGGACTAGGGACTTACCGCGTAGGTATACATGTCCACCGAAGCTGCACCGGCTGACTGCCCAAACAGCATGATTCGAGAGGGATCGCCGCCAAATTTCTCGATATTGTCGTGGACCCATTGGGCCGCAAGCCTCTGCTCCTGTTAGACGTGCTCAATGTAACAGGGAAGTGACAAACCTGATCCAGAAGGCCGACGTTCTGCTGATTCCGGGGTAGATCAGGAGAGTTGGGATACCCGAATACCGTCACGCGGTAGCTATACAATGAGTACTGCGCTGCAGGTTGACTAGGCAGATAGACCTACTTGAACGTCACAACAATGATATCCTCGTTATCCTGTACAAGGTTGTTCCCATCGTAGAACGTAAGTGCCGTACCACCCTGCACAAACCCCCCGCCGTAGATGTACATCATCACCGCCTTCTTCCCCTTGGCCTTCTTATGCTTGGCTGCAGGCGCCCAGACGTTAATGGATAGACAGTCCTCAGACATGTCTGCCGTGTTCCACGGATTATACGGCAGTACAGTCCAGATCGACTCATTCGAGAATGAGAACTGCCCGGGACACGGGGGCCCGAATGACGATGCGTCAAACACGCCGTGCATCCTGGCCTTGCGCACGGCGGGTGCGAATCGGCGCTCGCCAACTGGTGGTTCGGCATAGGGGATACCTAGGAATGTGCGGACTGTCTCGGCCGAGTTGTTGTAGAAGCCGTGGACGATGCCGCTGCTTGTTTCCACTTGGAGCTCTGAAATTGATGCCACAGCCAAGGCGGCAGAGCCTAGGAGGCAGGAGGCAAGTATTTTGAGATTCATCGTGTTGTAGGCTGTTGGTTACAGAACATTGGGGTAGTGGGAAACGAAGAAAGTCATTATACCCGTCGTATACCGGCCTGACCTTAACCCCCTTAGTCGGTTATTTTTCAATCCCTACCTCTGCGGGGAAATTGCGGAGAAATCAATGAATACTCCGTATCCGATGACGAAAGGATCCAAGATACGGAGTACATTATCTCTAGTCTCCCATAGACTGCGGGGAGGCTGACCAGAGTGAAGCATCACTCCGTGCCCAAAGGGGTAATAATCGGCAGCCGGGGAGGACCAGCTGAGGAGTTTCGGCTGATATCAATTGGCGGGGTTCCGTCATGGACATAAGCTTGGATTCGTCCGGATTGTAGTAGTTTCTTGGACACTTCTAAAGCACTATGATCCCTTTCATGTTTGTACCAGTTATGCAGACTATGCGTGGCTTGGGATCAATTGCGCTTCAACGAAATAGTACAGAAGCTTTGACATTATATGCGCTTTCAGAGTACAGTTATCATGCAAGCTGCTGGGGGCAAGAGTTGCCCAATAGGGTTTCTTTCCACCTGACATAAGTCTATATGGTATATATCCATAGAAGACAAGCCTACAACCGTCTTCCACGCTTAGCCACTCCCCTCTTCCTCAAGGCATTCGCCTCCTTCCGGGCAATCGTCGTCCCCGGCCCAAAATCCGGCTTCCCCCCCAGCGTCCCAAACTCATCCCCAATATAATTACTAGGCTTGACACCAGCCGCAAACGTCTTATTCCAACCGTCCATAATGCCCTGCACAACCTTGATCCCCGCATTGTAGATATTCTGTAGCGCAGGCCCAAACGCGCCCTGGTCCGCATACAGCAGATTATCAATCGCCGACTGACCGGGATACGGCCTCTCAAAGTCAGACGCCGTGCGCATGACGATAATCCGGGAGAAGTCCACGCGGTTGTGCGATGCAGCGCGCAGCAGCGCCTCGAGCGTCGCGTTGTCCTCCTGCGCGGTGCTGCAGTACAGGCCCGTCCCGTTCGTCAGAACACTAATGGTGTTGTCGAAGACGTCGTCGAGGGTTGTCCCGCTGAAGTAGACGTCGCTTGTGGTGACGTCGCATTCCACGACGGAGGGGGCCTGGGTGCCGGCTGCGTAGGTGCCATTGTCTGTGACGTACTTGCCGCGGTAGGCCTTGGCTGTCTCTGAGTCGGCCAGCTGCGCCGTGCGGGCAAAGGAGGCGGCTAGCGAGCGCAGCTCGGCGTTGACTTCGAACACTTCGGTGCCGTAGATGCTGCCTGGGTACTGGTCGGGCGCGTAGGCGCCCTGGGGGATGTAGGGGGAAGTGTAGTTTGGTCCGAGGTCGCGGATGTCGATCTCGTACTGCAGGGCGACTTGCACGGCATAGCGGGCGAAGGTGACGCCGCCGATGGTGGCGACCTTGGGGTTGATGCCGGCGATGCCTGCGATCAGGAAGTAGGTGTGCGTGAGGTCGAAGAGGGGGGAGAAGGCGATCGAGGAGACGGTGACGGCTGCGTTGACTTCGCCTTCGCCGGTGATCAGCTGGCAGATGCTGTAGTCGGCGGTGCAGTAGATATCGGGATAGACGGGTGAAGCACCGGGAACTGTGATGTTGTGCGCGAAGAGATCAAACTCGGGGATGTTCCACCAGACAGCGGCTTCGGGTTTGAACTGTGGATGTGAGTAGCTGTCATCCTTACAACCCGGATAGACATACCATAGAGACGATGAACACCTTGGGTGTAATCTTGTGAGGATGATGCTGGGCTACTGGCGCTGGCGCTGCCTTAGGGACTGCTGATGCCAGTACGCAGCCAGCGAGCAGCAATCCCGTCGCAATTGACTTGACCAGATGCATTATGAGGCCGTCTACCGTTTTGAACTTCGAGTTCACTCTTTCGTACTGCGCCGAGGACCAACTCGTCACGGCATCCAACGCGGTTATATAGCTGCAAATTCTGCAGTGGAAATCGCGCAACATGAGCCGTTGATGGATTCCAGGACCAGCACAGTGGATCCGATTCCACTATCGCGACTTTTTCAGAGAGATCTGCATCGATAGCGAGCGCCATTAGTCAAAATGGATCCATTCTGTCGTGCTTTTGGGTCGGATTGTCGGTGGTATCACCGTCTCAAGTGCTTATCTTCGTATCAGTCGGGTTTTCAATTGGCCTTTCAAAGAGTGGAGAAGAACACGGCACTCGCCGGTACGCGAACAGCTTTATCATGACCGGAGATAATAGACTACCGATAATATCAGGACGGGAACTTATCTTGAAGGTCTTCTTGTTTCTGGAAAATGCTTAACCTATCTTGGCTCCAAGAGCGAGGCAACTTCGGTGATAATGACTTATTTTCGCCATCTTGCACCAGTAGGAGCAAATCCATGCCCAGGTGTATGCTGATTCCATGCAAATGTCTATAGCAAGCTCTAAATGATGCCTGGTAATAAGAATTTCTGCTCCATACTTAGATTAGATTTGTTAATCCTCGCCTTGAGTGGATCATTAACATCATTCTTAACCATATTAAGCAGTATGGACCTACAGGTATATTAAAAGAAAGGAGCCAGAAGTTCCACTGATAAGGACTCTTAACATCTACTTTATATGAATGGAGTATAGACCTGACTTGGCTTCCTCCCCCTGTGCACCTCCAACCCTTCACTGTGGCATTAAGTTTAATATTACAAGGAGACACTGACGCAAACAGCATATCCAACCACTTAATAATGACAATTAGAGCTGATAGCCGGATTCCATTCATATGGCTGCGCAAACGTGACCCTGAACTGCGTAAGGGCCGCCATTAGGAAGAGAATACCAGGCGTTGCAGTTGGACGCCATCCCTATCTGGGTGGGACTGGATGGCCCAGTGGAGGACGTTGTGGTAGATGTAGACGACGAGGCAGGTCCCTTCACGCAGTATGCGCTGCCAGCCAGAGAGTCTCACAGTTACTTTCAACTACTCTGACCGGCACAGTACCTGTCTGATTGCTCCAGTGGACGGTGTAGTGGTGGTAGATGTACTGCTCCTTCTCTACCTACTAGAAACAAGTTTAACTAGAACAGCTGAAAAGTATTATAATTCCTGGACAGTATAGAGGCCTTAATAAGTTGGTCATGATTAAGCGAATCAGAACCTCTGCTGTCTGAGGCGCAGCATTGTATGTTGCCCAATGTTGAGCAGGTGAGGGTGGGAAAGATATTCCGCAATCAACGCCCCTCATAGCTTCAGGAGAGTCTGGAAACGTCTCAAATGGGAACCTGATGACGTCCGTGATCTTCGGAGTCGCCTTTGCAGCAATATCGGGCTTCTCAATGCGATCAACGTGCGGATCAACCGCGACGGTATCCTGGAACTACTGGAACACAAGAACAACGAGCAAGACCAGAAGTGTCTTGACTGGCTGTCGCCAGCGAACTATGCAATACCGCAGAGTGACTATATTGATCGGCGCCAACCAGGAACAGGGGATTGGCTTCTGGAGTCACCGGCGTTCCAACCATGGATCGAAAGACCGCAGGAAACATTATTCTGTCCCGGTATTCCAGGAGCCGGCAAGACGATCCTTGCATCGGTTGTGGTCGACAAGCTGGAGTCTGAATTTGGGAATGACCGTGACGTCGGCATTGCATATATTTTCTGCAGTTTTGAACACCGCGATGATCAAATGCAAAACCCAGACAGCTTACTGGCAAGCTTTCTCCGACAGCTGGGCCAGAATCTGGATCCAATCCCAGACAGCATTGTGGCGTTGTACGACAAGCACAAGGTTAAAGGAACGCGGCCGTCATTCAATGAAACTTCCAAGGCCCTACGGTTGGTTGTTCGTCGCTTGCCCAGGGTCTTCATTGTCATCGATGCATTGGACGAATGCAGGCGACTTGCCATATCACGAGTACTGGATGAACTCTTCAACCTCCAGGCGGCGCACAACCTAAACCTTCTAGCCACCTCAAGATTTATCCCAGAGATGACGGCTAAGTTTCAGGGTAAACCTACAGAAGAGATTCGTGCAGCAAAGGCAGACGTGATGATCTATCTCAATGCCAATATGAACAAGCTTCACGCCTTTGTGTCGCGAAATCGACAGCTGCAGCAGAAGATCATAGTTGAAATCAGCGATGCCGCTGGTGGAATGTGAGTCCACATCTGTGAGCGCATACGCTGCTCCTCTGTCGGTCCGTGCTCATAATGTACTAGGTTCCTCCTTGCACAGCTTTGCATGAACTCACTGAGCGGGAAACTTTCAGAAAGAGCAATCAGGCGCGAGCTAGAGGAGCTAGCGAAGGGTTCTGGAACGTATGACTCCGCATATGACAAGGCTATGCAGAGAATCAACCACCAGGTCCCGGAAGGGCGTGATATGGCTATCAAAGTCTTGTCCTGGGTGACCCGTGCCAGAAGGCCACTGACAGGGTTAGAGCTACTGCATGCTCTTGCCGTGGAGCAGGGTGAAACCGAGTTCCATAAAGATAATCTTCCCGATCTCGACGACGTCATTTCTGTTTGCGAAGGCTTAGTCAAAGTAACAACCGATCCAATGGGGGATACCATTCGACTGGTCCACTACACTACCAAGGAGTACTTTGACCGGAGATGGACCAGTTGGTTCTCAGATGCAGATGCCAGCATTGCAGCGACCTGTCTGACATACCTATCATTCAATGTTTTTCAAACAGGCCTCTGTCTCACCAATACAGAGCTTGAATCATGGCTTGATCAAAACCCTCTTTATTCTTATGCGGACAGGAACTGGGGAAATCATGCTCAGGCTCAGCCAATAGACGAACATTTGCTCATGGCGTTTCTTGGCGATACAGGCAAAGTCACTGCAAGTGTACAAGAAATCTTCGCTGTCAATGGATTTTCAAGTTCTGGTGATTATTCCCAACACGTACCACTGGGGTTCACCGGCTTGCATCTTGCTGCATACTTTGGGCTTAGGAGTGTGGTACAGTCCATGATTGAGCAAAGCGATCAATCCCATGTCATGGATTCCATGGGAAGAACACCTTTCATGTGAGCTGCGTTTGCTGGCCATGCCGATGTTGTCAAGCTCTTTCTGGAACATGGTGTCGATCCACACATACGTGACTGGGAGGGTCGAACGCCAATATCTTTGGCCTCTTCGGGGGGGTGGGTCAACGTCGTGAAACAACTTCTGGATCACGATGTCGACCCAAACTCCAGAGATATCGATGATCAGTCTCCACTTTCATGGGCAGCATATCGAGGTCACACCGACGCCGCTCACCTTCTGGTAAAGAGGGGCGCTGACCCTGACTCCAAGGACGGCTATGACAAGACACCACTCTCTTGGGCAGCTGCTGAAGGCTGGCTGGAAATCGTTCAGTTCCTAGTCGAAGAAGCCGTTAAAATCGATTCAAGGGATGAGCTTGGACGGACACCAATCTCATGGGCTGCAGAGAACGGGCACGCCGCTGTGGTCAAGCTCCTGCTGGAGAAAGGCGCTCAGCCACCCTGGGAACATGCGAAAGGGTACGCTTCCTTATTAAGCTATGGTCAAAATGAGCCTAAACGTGGCCCTGAGCTCAGGTGCCCACTTTGCTTCAAGCAATTTTGGACCTCACATAGCCGAGCGTCTTTCAGGAGGCATTTGGAAAACCGACACTACCCTCGGTGCACTTATCTTTGCCCCGAATCATCTTGCCAATGACGTTTCAACAGACTTGATTCGGCGGCAGAGCACTGTCGAAGGATGCATGGGATAAGATCAAGTCTGCAAGACATGCGCAGATGCAGAAAAGAAGAACCTTCTCCTTCAAGTTGTCCACTCTGCCAGAGGCGCATTGGTTCATGGAGTGAGTTCTTCGAATGCGTGTTCAAACACACACTGGATCCTTCGTCTTCCAACAAGGTCCCGCAAATCCCGAGACCATAAAGGCATGACCATGCCCATGAGACGAACCCGTGGATAGCGTATTTCATACCTTTCGGGCGTTTTTGGGTGGAATAGCCCGGAAAGGCGGTCTAACCTCTCGTGACAATCTCATATATACGCCCACTGTGCTTAGCCAGGGCTGTTCTTCTTGAACAAGACTCGCAAAGAAGGGTCACTGATTTGCCAGGCACAGTGTAGCTGCGGTTTGGATCGCTCTCCCAAATAACACTCCCGTCAGTCTCCTTCTTAATGAACTTAAGTGTATTCGAAAGTCGCTCCCGCCTGGGAGATTGATCATCGTGGTCCACAGCGGGTCTGCAGCAGTGCACCGGCTGGCAGAAGCGCCACTACGTTGTTGGTAGACCAAGAGCCCAACCGGCTGATTGACCCAATGGTCAAAATGTTCTCGCCGTAGGTCGTGGTCATCAATTTTCCACGACTTTCCAGGAGCCCAACGGACATATTTGTGCTCCATACTTGGACCAGATCTGTTTATTCTCACCTTGTGTGACTCATACACATCTTTATCAAGCATACAGACCTGTATAAACCCACAGATATATTAAAAGAGAAAAGCAGAAAGTTCCACTATTAAAGGACTCCTAACATCTACTTTATAAGTACGGAGTATAGACCGGACTTGCCTTCCCTTCCTCTGTTTACCTCTAACTCTTCATTGTAGCATTAACCTTAGTATTACAAGTAGACAACGACACAAACAGCATATCCAACCAATAAATACTGACCATTAGGACCAATAGCCGGATTCCATTTATATAGCTGCGCAAACGTGACCCCGAAATGCTTCCCAATTGCATCACAAGAGCCGCCATCGGGAACAGTATACCAGGCGTTGCAGGTGGACGTCAGCCCCGTGTGGGTGGGAAATACCCGGTAGCAATGTGGGCTATGTCAAATTTATTGACAAGGAGTGGGATCCGTATGACCCAGTTGAATATGAAGATGAGTATGAGAGACTTGTAGAGGATCCTAAAGAGCCAATTGAGGATTGTACGCTTCACAGTGGGGTTGGATGAAAGTGCATTATGACAGTGTCATGGTGAGCATGTATAATAACATGCGTGATAGCCTGGCGTGGGATTATGGATATCGTCGTCCTCCTCAGTTGCACTCCGTTAATGCGGCCATATCTGTGTCAAGGTTGACTCGTGTACTTATGGATCAAAGCCCGGTCCTAATCTTTGTGTCTGATGATTCGTGCTTGAAGACTCGTTCAAGAATAAGCTGAATATACAAAGCATTGGAATGGGGCCTCAGAAGCTGTGCTCTTTGCTGATATACTCTTCCACGTTAATGACCACTAGTAGCATTTTTGCTCGTGCTCGTTGTAAGAGGGAAATGAAACAGGGATATGGTGGTTTCTCCCAGGAAGAAACTAATTAAGGGTGATGATAAGAGCAATGTGCCGTCTGTCTTCTTCGCTGATGGAAATTGCAGAGAGAAGGATGCAGTCACTTCGGCCCTCTTCTGCTTGCGAGTGATTTTGTCAATTTCTCGGTGTCCTGGAGAAGAAAGTGCCTGAGGAGTGTCGCCGTCATAACACCAATAAACTATGGCTCTCACTAGTGCTGGACGAGTTTATCCACAAGTGGGACTATGACAATCGAGTGCAGAAACCGCCAGCCTTTAGCTCTCCTTTATTGCAAACAACGGTTTCTTCGTGACTATACTCTGATGGAGCTCGGCTTTAATCCGACGTTGTCGTTAGTCTCGGTCATAAGCCCTATGACGGCCTCGTCTGCGGCCTTCAATTGGCGCATTAACCTATTCCTACATAATTAGTCCGGCAGACTTCCTGTCATCAGATAACCTTGATCCGTCGGCCTTTCTAAATCCGGGGTTATTCCTCGCGGACAGGAGTGCAGGCAATCTATGTGAGGATGGAATGAAGAGCTGCCCTCGATGATTATTTCTCTGTCCACCAATCGGAGCGACTTTCCCTAGATTCTTATATTGCTTTCTTCATGGTGCATGGCTTTAATATGTTTGTGGCTGAATTGGCTGCGTAAGCCTGTGGGGTGACGAATCTCCACCCGGACAGAGGCTTGGTAACATGACTCGAGCATATAAACACGTCGAGGTCTGCTGCTTGGTGTTAGACAGACTCAATTTGTTCAAGACAATGATGAAGTACCAGGGTCTTCTTGCCATAGCAGGCTGCATCGCCAGCGCCAGCGCCGTCAGTGTCTCCGGCGCTGCGGAGGGTTTCGCCAAGGGCGTCACTGGTGGTGGGAGTGCAACGGCCGTCTACCCCAGTACTACTGCCGAGCTTGTGTCCTACCTTGGGGACAGTGAGGCCCGTGTGATTGTATTGACCAAGACGTATGCATTCATTGAAATAGCTTTGTTGTAGGTGCATGCTGACTGTTGACCAGATTCGACTTTACTGGTACCGAAGGCACAACGACAGCGACTGGCTGTGCGCCTTGGGGAACTGCCTCTGCGTGCCAGCTGGCAATCAACCAGAATGACTGGTGTACCAACTATGAGCCTGATGCCCCCTCGGTATCTGTCACCTAGTGAGTGTGGCCGGGTTTCTCCCATGAGCACAACTAACGGCTACAGTGACAATGCCGGTACCCTAGGTATCACCGTCAAATCTAACAAGTCACTTCTCGGATCTGGGTCCAGTGGTGTGATCAAGGGTAAGGGTCTGCGGATTGTCAGCGGTGCGAGCAATATTATCATCCAGTAAGTTTACCCGTAGTTTGTGGTCAAAAGACAAAACTGACATTTGCAGAAACATTGCGATCACTGATATCAACCCCAAGTACGTATGGGGAGGTGACGCAATCACCATTAACAATGCCGACATGGTTTGGATTGATCATGTTACGGTCAGCTCCCCAAGTCCAATCTTGTTTGGCTCACTCTGATGCATGGTAGACCGCGCGCATTGGCCGCCAGCACCTCGTCCTCGGCACTAGCGCTTCGAACCGGGTGACTATCTCCAACAACTACTTCAATGGAGTGAGCAGTTACTCTGCCACCTGCGACGGCTACCACTACTGGGGCATTTACCTGGACGGGTCCAACGATCTGGTCACCATGAAAGGCAACTATATTTACCATTTTAGTGGCCGCAGTCCCAAAGTCCAGGGCAACACCCTTCTCCACGCGGTAAGCCCCTCACCTTACCTTGCAAGCTCAAACTAACCGTTCAGGTCAACAACTACTGGTACGACTCCAGCGGACACGCCTTCGAAATTGGATCCGGCGGCTACGTCCTGGCCGAGGGCAACGTCTTCCAGAACATCGATACCATTGTTGAGAGCCCCGTTGATGGGCAATTGTTTACCTCGCCCGATAGCACCACGAATAAGGTCTGCTCGACCTACCTTGGACACGTGTGCCAGGTCAATGGATTCGGCAGCTCGGGGACCTTCAGCCAAGCTGATACGGGTTTCCTGTCTAACTTTGCAGGCAAGAATATTGCCTCTGCGTCGGCGTATACCGTGGTGCAGAGTAGCGTTCCTTCGAGTGCGGGACAGGGTAAGATTTAGTTCGGCGTCAATACGTTGGACGCAGGAGGTGAAGATGAGGCAGGCTGGACAGCTGCTCTTTGGTTATGTACCTGTGACATCTAGAGCTATATCGCGTCAAATGCACTCCGGTCAGGAAGTCATACATATGTCGTACAAGTAGTGAATGAAGCATACTATCTGCGAGGCCTCCAGCTCGCCTGAGGCTCGTAGCGGCGAGGAGGAATGAAGTTTGGTGAGTAACCGGTGAGGGATTCTTCAAAGATCAAGCCACAAGGGGACATATTAGGCGATTGCTTGATCATGGTAGTGTCATTGCAGATTAACAATGTTTCTTTGCACTGTATATGACGGGAAGATCGGCGATGTTGAGACGCAGACGCCTGATCCATCGATATAGAGCGACAATACCATCAAATACCATAGCCTTATAATGAAATGTCCCTCACAAAACGAGGGGACATTCAGACTATGCTTCTGTCTTCTTTTGAGCCCGTTGTTGAAGCACTATGTCGATGCCTCCATCACCCCTCCCGACGTTATCAGCGATAAGATAACGTTATCGGCGGCGGGGTGCTCTTGCTTTGTTGACTGACTTGACCAAATCTAGGTAGTATAGGTCTATTGCGGTCACAAAGAGCAAGCCCTCTGATTGGAGACCTTATTCTAGTAGCATTGCCTCTATCTTCATCAAGATGTGAAAAGCAGAGTGACGGCTCATTCACTAGGTCAAATGCTTGGCTCAATAGAGTCATGACGGCGAGTCCCACCAGGACACAACTGGCGGCCGATATGACGCATGTGGAGCACCAATCTTGACATCCTGATTGAATGCTCATCATGGCAGATCCGGCTCGATCGCAGCGAATCTCTTTCTATCTAAAGCACTGGAGACAAGAAATAGAGATGACACCACGTCATGCACGTGGGGAGAAGCCACATGACGTCACTCCACGTCTCCCTCTCCCTTTTTATATCCATGGAACTGTCCAAAGGTTGAATTGAATGACAGCTCTAGGAGCAATAACCATACTTAACGGCATCCTAACAAAGGGCGTTTGACGAGACACCTGACTCTCTCACGCCCACTTCAACAAGATACGATTCACCTCAACTACCCTGATTTAGAAGCATCCATTGAGTGTACGTCTCAGATTCCTCGATTGTTTCTAGCGTCCATATTGTTGACCTTTCATCTACAGTCGAACCCATCAGTCGCCATGCCTTCCATGCACGATCGTATCCGCGAGGACCTCCTCATCAAAGAGCGCGCTCTATGGACGGCCTTGACCTCAGCAGACCCCGGGCCGGCTATCGAGAAACTCTCCCACCAAGAAGTCAACATGATATTCCCTCAAACACCTATCTTAACTCTGGAGGGCGAGAACAAGATTCAGGATGCAGTCAAGCCACCCTTCCACCGATTCGATACCTACTCTCTAGACGAAGTGCGGGTGATCATCATCGATCTTATGGCGGGTACGGTTACGTACAGGGTCACCGCTACCAGAGGAAACAAGACGTACCGTGCAAATGGCTCGACGACGTGGCAGCAGGCTTCGGATGGAGAATGGCGGATCATTTGTCACCAGGAGACATTGGTGTAATTCTCAGCGTGAAGGGTTTCGGGGCAGTTCTCTCTTTCTTTATATCTTTGACGAGGTCATGCTTCACGTTATTATAATTGCTTGATACCGACAATGTGAGCGATGTATGTTACTTTCGTGGTTTGATGGCTGAATGAGCTACGAATACAGGTTTTACAACCGATCATTATGAGCTGCTGCGTAAGTCTTTCAGAAGGTGAGAGAAAGACGGGACTACCTAGCTATGAAATTGTATACAGATAACTCCAACCAGGTTCGATATTGCAGGAATCTAGCAGTAGAGGTGTGATGGACAATTGATCTTTGTCATCGGAAATCACTCGAAATATATATGTATATATATGGTGTGCTTCCGCCAATATCGACCACTAAGCACACTTGCAATTTAATAATAGCAAAATCGATCATGGCACAATCTCTGTTCTGTTACGTGTTCAAAATAATCTGATATCGAAAGATCAAGTTTATGCATTATCTCCTATGGATGGATGTTATATGGATACGCAGTGATCAGACTGACATGATGTGATTATGCGACCATCATTGCAGAATACCTGCAGCAATTTCTCACAATTGTACATAAAGGCATCATTGCTTACTATCTTCAAATGTACATCCAAAGAAGAGAATTGAGAGATATGATGAAAATCATAGCAAAACAAAAAGCGACGACCCGGGATCGAACCGGGGACCTTCAGATGCCTCCAATTGATGCCTTAGGCATTATATCCATGCTCTAAGGTATGTGTGGGAGAACTTCCATCTGGTAGTGAGAGACCGAGGCTTCTGCGGGGCTTCTTGCCTTGACCGATGACTCAATGACCAGTCAATGTTACTTAGCCAATGCCATTGACTCATAAGTTCAAACCAGCAGCTTGGCTAGTGCGATTCCAATCACACCGATTATTTGAGACCATTGAGATGAAAGCATTCGATTAGACTATCTATGCAGTGGAGCCCTTGTTCGCACATCTAGTGGGGCCCACCCCCAGCAATTCGCTATCATAATACGAACCCGGCACTGCATCCCAGTCACTTGCTAATCCTCAAAATTCTCTGTCATCTCAAGACAATGTCTCTTTCCATTCCTTTTCTAACCGTTCCCCATTCACAAGATTCATGATGAATCTCGCCTCCGTCCGTGAGGCCAAATGGGGCCAGGAATGGCGCTCCTCCTCGTGGTTCATCGTCGCCGCGATGGCAATGGCCCTGTTCACGGGTGAGTCGGCCGTATCCATTGATCATTGCGCTCCGACTAATGCGTTGCAATCAACTCCTAGACACATTCCTATATACTTTCCTCGTCCCGATTCTCCCTTACGTGGTTGAAGATCGCCTCGGTTTAGACTCGCTGACACAACGGATCAGCTTCGCGTTGCTGTCCGAAAGTGCCGCTGTGGCCGTCGTGCTGAATCCGTTCATTGGACACTATGCTGATAAGTCGGCGTCGAAGCGAGTCTGGCTGCTGTCGGCGCTGGTGGCCGCCCTCCTGGGATCGGTGTATCTGGCGCTGGCGACGTCGGGTGGGTGATATCTTGATCAATGTGAGGTATTCGTCGACGGCAACTGACCGGTATGTGGTATTGTAGTGGTCCACGTTTTCATCGGCCGATTTATTCAGGCCATTGCCAGCTCGTTCATGTGGGTGGTGGGGTATGCGACGATCGCCGACAGTGTCGACTCGACTCGCCTGGGTGTGATATATGGGATCATCTCGGTGGCGGCGGCTGTAGGCTTGTCGGCGGGACCAATGGTCTCGGGTGTGCTGTTCAAAATAGGTGGTTATTGGACGGCTTGGACTAGCGCGTTTGCGATCCTTCTTGTGGATATTGTTCTCCGTTTACTGATGCTGGAGAATCCCCGGAGAAAGAGAGGTGAGTGATGGACCCGAGGTTTTATGTTTCAAGGTCTCACCAGGCTCGTTTGCAGAGAAGCAATCGGATTCTTCCCCTGCGGATGACGGCCCACACGAGGAAAACTCGCCGCTCCTCCACCCGGACAATGACACATCGACCGCCTCGCGCGCCGCGGCTGCACCGGAGACAGTCGAAGAGAAGACAGGTCTAGAATACTACGTGTACATGTTTCGACACCGTCGATTCGTAAGCGGGGTTCTGGGTTATTTTGTCTTTGCGATATTGATCTCCAGTTTCGACACGACGCTTCCCCTGCACGTCCGCGATGCGTTCAACTGGGATAGTATGCCAGCGGGACTAATGTTCCTGGCCTTGCAAGGTCCCGGCATTGCGCTCAGTCCCCTTGTTGGCTGGTTGAAGGACCGCGTTGGGACACGGATCCCCACCACGATTGGTTTTCTGGGGTTGACTCCTCTGTTGTGGCTGCTAGGGGTGCCCGGAGATGAGCGTTTCCCGTGGGCAAATGAAGGCCACAGGGGCCAGATCATCTATGCTATGGACGTGACGGCCGTGGGAATCGTATCGGTTTTACTGAATGGTGTTGGCGTACTCGAAGCTACCGGTAAGTCTGTCGATCATCAGCAGAGTGCAATTCCTGATTTTGATAGCGACCGTTGATGAAATTGAAAAACGACACCCGGGCATATTTGGACCCCATGGCGGATACTCCAGGGCCATGTCGATTTGCAGCCAGAGCTGGACCATTGGAGCTTTCTTTGGGCCAATTCTTTCGGGCTACATGGCAGAACATATCGGATATTACGAGATGACCAGTACGATCGGTAAGTTTGGCAGCAAAATATCTATGGAGTACTCCGTGTGAGCACCGCTAATTGGCTTTAGCGGCAATATGCGCCGCTTCCGCTGTCAACACTTACTGGAACCTTAGGCCCAAGGCGCATCTAAACCACGGGGAGCTTGAACCGGACCCGCTTCCGTGATTTATGTAGTAGTCATTCGGTGAGAAAGACGGAGTATCCGTACTGGAGCAGACAAGTGGATAGATCGCATGGAGCTCCACCGTGGACTTCCTTTGTCGGTGACCTGCAGCATCATAGACGATGGATGAAGTCCGGCTTGTCATTGGGACTGCTCAAAACAAAATAAAAGCATGAATAGACATAATGACTCCGAAACAAAGAACAAAACATGACTTTCTGTGGGTAGACAGGTCAAAGCTAGAGAAATCGACTGATAAAGTCGGGGCAGCATAACCTCCGGACTTCCCCTATCTAGTCTATCGAACTTTTGTTAGACAAGAAGGGAAAAAGAAAAAGACCATTGGGTCTTAGTCTTAAAGCTGCCCCTAAAGACTAAGGTATCTATGGAGTACTCCGTAGAATAGATGAATACCTACTTGAACGCTTCGACTGTTCCGTAGGTGCCTCGGCATCAATCCACGAAGATGAATGGACAGATCTCCGGCGTAGCTTTTATTGATCCTGTTTCCTGGTCTTTAGATCGATAGAAACAGGAAAAGTTGCCCAATCTTGTTTCACGCTACGGAAGAAGGGACTTTAGGGGTGGGCCGGAAGGGCCGGGAGAAGACGCGTCGAACTTTTGCCCCGTCAACGGCCAAGTTTGGGCGCTGTAAGTGGCCAATATTCCTAGTCTAAGAGGCATGTTATGTAGCTAACTCAGTCTGGCAAAATGACAGACGAACTATCTCGTCCTAACTATCTTGTGCTAAGGAATCCCGGCAATATCGCATGTGCCTGAAGAAAATTTCGTCAACCCATGCATGCATGCATGCAGAGCCAGAGGTAAACTGCAGACAAGACCCAGAAGCGATGATGATGATGTAAATTTCCCGAGAAGTCTCCATTCCCGGCCGAAGATGAGTTTTTACTTTTAGCTTTTTACCCGTCCCATTGTTTGGTGTGCTCTGTATATCTGTGGATGTGACCTGTCCTTGGTCACCCGTGCACCAACGCTCTACGGAAGCTCCCGCGGTTTCGAGATCGTCTTTAGATTCTAGACTAGCTTTTCCGTGACATAGACAAGATAGTCTCTAACCTTTCCAAAGGTCATTGTGGCGAAGCTGACTGACCTGCTGTGATTTGGTTCTTTGTCCGTGGAGAGACGGAATAGCGTCACTTACTTCCACGCTACAATACTTGATAAAGCTACATAGTCTAGTCCGGTTGTCGGTTGGCAATCGGGATATGAATCAAGGCAGCCCCGCTTACTTAGAGTGTCTGCTTTAATTTTTTCCCCTTCTAAGTGCGAACACTTGACTCTGGCAATTCGATCGTACGATACCATAATCATACTCTCATACCATGCCTCCTCAAAGGATTCTGATAGTTGGGGCCGGAATTGCGGGCATCGCTAGTGCTCTGGCCATCTCAAAGGAGCTGACCCCATACGTTCCAGACCTGAAGATCACCGTCTTTGAACGCCATGACATCCTCTCCACCTCTGGGGGCGCCATCAACCTCACCCCCGTCGCTCAGCGTCATCTCGACCAGCTTGGAGTGCTCGCAGAACTGGACCGTTTGGGAGTCGAAGGCGGAGCCGACGTCGATGCCATTCAATTCTTTTCCTGCCGGTCGGGAAGATCGCTGGGGTCGATTGATTTTACCCGTGATCATGGCCAGGGATTCAGCGGATACAAGGGCCGACGGGTGATGCGGATTATCCTCTCGGTAGCGATGCTAGCGGTCGTCGAGCGCACCCGGAATATCGAGATCGTCTTCGGCAAGAAATTAGTCAAGGGCGAAGAGACCGCCGATGAAGCCATCCTGTACTTCCAAGACGGCACAACGGCGGTTGGAGATCTCGTCCTGGGCTGTGATGGCGTGCACTCAGCCACACGCACTCAGTGGATTGCACCCGACTTTCCGTCCGAGTACACGGGGATCTCGTTCCTGCAGGGCGTCGTCGACGCAAAGACGCTCAAATCCCGCACCCATTTCCGATCGACTTCCATGAACATCTCCCGGCACGGCACGTTGCTAGCGAGCTACTGCGACCGCGAGCAGGAGCAGATTTTCCTCGCGGCCATTGTGCAGTTTGCTGAGGAGCTGCTCCCGCGGTACCGGATCGAGGCCGGCCAGGACTGGCGGAAGCAGCATGCCATTCGCAAAGCCCTGCAGGAGGAGATGCAGGATCGATTTGGGAAGTCGGGGATCCCGTGTATCCGTGAGATGATCAATTCCCCGACGGACTGGATGCTGTACCCGGTGTACCAGGTTCGGCCTGGCGGGCGGTGGCATACCCAGCGGGCGATCCTGTTGGGAGATGCAGCACATGCGGTACGCTATATTGGATTGGAGATATGTGCTCAGCTAACTCTGGTATAGATGCCCCCGCGTGATGAATCAGCGGCGTATGCGCTCGACGACGCGATTGTGTTCTCTCGGATACTAGCTCGATACCGCGACGAACCGCTCACGGAAGCATTCAAAGCCTACGAAGACCTCCGACGGGAGACTGTCAACGAAGCGTTCAAGTCCGCTCGGCGAATGTGGGAAAAGCACAAGGACATGGGTCTGTTGGAGGGCCGGCTGCGCGAGTGGACGCTGCCTTTCTATATCCGCAATTCGAAGGAGGCTCGCGAGGCAGCGTGGGACTTTGATGCGACCAAGATCAGCATTCCCAGGCCGCTGGAGGAGCAGGAGTCGCTGTATTCATTTGAAAAGGATTATCATTTGTAGCGGGAGGATTTTGTACTGGAGTTTTGTCGACTGGTGTTGCATATACATTGGATGGGCAATTGGGCACATATTGCATTGTATTGCGGGATCTGGGTTTGGATATTGTCATCGTCATTTTCGGCTGTTTTGCGTGTTGTGTCTATAGATTGCATATTTGGGATCATATGAATACAAGAGCATTGCAATAATAATGTACAATTCGCTTAAGGATCATCCACATCATCACCAGAGTGATAAAACTTTCTTCCAATTTCCACGAGTCAGTCAGGACAGTCAGGATCCAGATCCTGGCTTGACTTGGCAGAGCCCCTGTTTCTTGTTGATCGATATGTATTCCTATAGGATCCTGCGGCGCTTCCACACTTCTACGGACAGCTCTGATATTGACATCAGCATTGACCGCGGATTCATTTATCGTCGGACAATCTCTCTATATTGCATCAAGTCCAATTCCACCTGTCGCGTAGATTCCCTCGCGTTGATCTCCACGATGGTCATGGGACGCTTGGGACGCTCCTCTCCGGATCAACAACCTCGGACGACGATCTCTTCACGATTAAATTCGTCAAGGCCTCATTGTCCGGGGATGTCGGAGAGGTCTGGAAGCAATTGATGGAAATATTGTTGCTCTGATGAAAATCTCTCAACAGCGTCAACTTTGATCCGTCACACCCCCTATCACGACAAATGCCAATACAGCAGCTGAAACCCCGGCTTTCTTGGCAATGAACTGCCCGGACAAGCTTTGAAACATCACCTCGTCATTTGTGGATATTCTACGAGACACTCGGGGACGTGCCTGGCCGGTCAATGCTGGATACCTCCATCATGTGCGCTGGCATCGAGCGTCATTCCGTCGCTGTTTGGACGCTTCTACCCCGCTGAATCCAAAGCCTTGGCTTCTGCATCGACGATGATCAGATCCTGTGAGACCCTTTTCAGGGTATATGCCGGCCGCCGATGGACTTGGCGGTTGTGCTTGACAGGGATAAACACGGTGCGATGCGTCTCAGCGGACGGAATTTATCTTGTGCAATATAGCATCGTCCTGGCCGAATCTGGAGTCGTGTGACGTTGATCGCTGGAAAGTCCGTCCACCTATGGAGACGGTTCTTCCATTGCAGTGGTTCTCGATAGGTGCCGTGGCCAAGAATGGCCGCCAAGAGGACTGGTGTGTGGCCTGTTGTTCCAGCTTGAGCAGTGTGTCTGAGATATACGGGTGCACTGCCCGATTAGGAAATATATGGGGACCATTCCCCGAATAGGCAGTACAGGGGCTCCCAGGGTATATAAAGCTCGTTGATGCCGTCTGCGATGAGGTTTTGTTTCAGTAGGCTCAACAGGCTTGGTCTTGATTCTTATCCGCTCTCTTCACTTACTTTCCTTCACTTTATTCGCTTCGCTCGTCAAGTCTGGTACTTGCTTTTTTTCAACATCACAATCATGAAGTTCGTTGCTACCCTCATCGCTTGTGGCCTGTCTGGACTGGCCCTGGCCGCTCCTACAGCTACCGTCGACTCGTTGGAGAAGCGTGGCCCCAATGATGTATGTCTTCTGCTGAAATCCGTTAGCAGAGGCTAAAAGCTGACATGACAGGCTGCCTTTGGTTACGCCAGCTTGAACGGAGGCACCACCGGTGGTGCCGGAGGTACCACGACCACCGTCTCCTCCTACGCAGCCTTCACTGCTGCCGTCTCCAGTGATGCGAAGAAGGTGGTCTATGTCAGCGGCCCCATCAAGCAGAGCGCCAAGCAGGTCAAGGTCGGCAGCAACACCAGCATCATCGGCAAGGATTCCACCGCTGTGCTCGAGGGATTCGGCCTGTACGTACAACCTTTGCCTATGGACAATAGGGACACGACTAATTGAGAACAGTCTGGTGAAGGAGAAGTCCAACGTGATCATCCGGAACCTGGGAGTCAAGAAGGTTCTGGCTGAGAATGGAGATGCCATTGGCATTCGTATGTATCCCTTCTTTTGACAATGTACTCAACTAATGAACGACAGAATACTCCAACAATGTCTGGGTTGACCACGTCGATGTCTCTTCTGACCGTGACCACGACAAGGACTACTACGACGGTCTGATTGATGTAAATATCCTCCCAAGGAAACTGAAAATGCAACGATACTGACAACTGCAGCTCACCCACGCCGCCGACTACGTGACCATCTCCAACTGCTACATCCACGACCACTGGAAGGCGTCCCTGGTCGGCCACTCTGACAACAACGGCGATGAGGACACGGGCCACCTGCGCGTGACTTACGCCAACAACTACTGGAGCAACATCAACTCCCGTGCTCCCTCCCTCCGCTTCGGCACCGGCCACGTCTACAACAGCTACTTCGAGAACGTCAGCGACGGCATCAACACCCGCGACGGCGCCCAGGTCCTCGTCGAGTCCAACCAGTTCGTCGGCTCCAGCAAGGCCCTCTACTCCACTGACGCCGGCTACGCCGTCGAGAAGGACAATGACTTTGGCGGCGCCAAGAACACTGCCCTGAAGGGTACCTTGACCACGGTTCCCTACTCTTACTCTCTGGTTGGATCCAGCAAGGTCAAGTCGGCCGTTGTTGGACAGGCCGGTCAGACTCTGAAGTTCTAGTTCTGACGAGATGGAATAGCTGGAGATGGATGGAATAACGGATTGCTGCTTGTACATAGTTGATACTTCTTTCACTCCTTCGTCTGCCAATTATACATACTTTGGTTGATTTACATTTCTGTGCTATGCCACGACAAGTAGAACTTTTTATCTTGGCGTATTCGGCGTGCCTAGCCCGTCGCATCTACCCATGTTAGTCATTTCGTTATTCACCAGATACTATAGGAAAGGAAACATACCCCTGACAACGCGGAATCCCCCCGAGCCACACCCCACATTCGTTCCATTGGTGATATCATGCAACACCTCCGGATGCGCATACGGCATGGAGCAGACGACAACCATTCCCATGCAGCTGACGGCCTCGACGGAAGCAGCAAAGGTGTCGTACACCTTGTCTCCCGTGCAGTATTGGCTATATGCGGGAGAGCCGGGTGGAATGGATCTCATGTAATTGCAGTCTTATATTGCCCTACGGCTGGTTCTCTCTTATCCTAGAAGAATCTCAATAGAATTTTCATATTTGCCAATCTAAAGGGACTGTCCCAACTCTTTCGGATCGTGCTCAAGCTATCCCCTATGCCCTAAAGCTCAGCAGCACCTCTAGATTCTCTGCCGAGCAACAATAAGTCACTAACAACCGGCATCTTTGCATCATCAGTAATTGCTCCTAAGGCGTTTTGACGGATCCTTGATGTCGCTGAAATCCTAACTGGCGGAAACCCGCAGGAGATCTTGGATGCATGCTTGACTCTGTTGAATGGAGGTAACTCGTCTGAAGGTCAGGTCGAGATGATGGAAGACAGTAGGTTTATCCTCTATATCTTATATACTATTTGTCATAAATCATGCCATCTGGACAATTAATTCCGCCATCAGAGCAGATCCACCGCGGTAATCTTTCCGACCCCGCTTTGTCTCGCTTTCCCTCCTCTTCTTCCCCTCATCACTGAGATCTCCCAATCTCAACTCTACCAGGTCATCATACAACTACAAGATGACCGATTTCTCCTCAATTCCCATCATCGACTTTGGTCGACTCCAAGATCCGTCCACTAAAGAAGAAACCTTGGTCCAACTGCGGGAAGCCATCTTCCTCGTGGGATTCCTGTACCTGACCAACCATGGCATGGAGGTATACAACTGCACCTCATGATGTGTCGCTATACTGAGTAACTCAGGAAATGATCAAAAAAGCACATGCTACCCTTCCCGACCTCTTCGCGTTGCCCGCCGAAGTCAAAGAAAAATGCAACATGATCAATTCTCCCTCGTTCGTGGGATATACCCGGCTGGGCGCGGAGACGACGGCCAAGAAAACCGATTGGCGCGAGCAGTTTGATTTTGGGACTCCCGGGATGAAGCAGTGGACGCCCAATGATCCGATTTGGCAGAGGCTGGAAGGAAACAGCCAGGTATGTTGAATTCCCTGGAGGCTACTAGACGACTGACAACGTAGTACCCCGATTACCCCGGTGCGCGAGAACTGGTAGAGGAATACATCGCTGAGTCGGCCAAGTTATCCAAGATATTCATGCGCCATGTGGCCGAATGTCTGTCTCTACCGCCGACCACCTTTGAAGCGTTCAGGGGGAACATGGACCGGCTCAAGTTCATCAAGTACCCGCAGTCGCCGCCGGGGTCGCAGGGTGTCGGCCCGCACAAGGACTCGAGCGGGCTGTTTACCTTTCTCTCGCAGGATGATACGGGGGGATTGCAGGTTCTTAACAAGAAAGGCGAATGGATCGATGCGCCGCCCATCGAGGGGAGTCTGGTGGTGAATATACAGCAGGGATTTGAAGCTATTACGGGGGGTGTCTGTACGGCCACCACGCATCGGGTTATTGTATGTTCTGTGCCTTTTTATTTGACGACCAGTCTGACGTTGAACAGGCACCCACGTCAAAAACAAGATACAGCATCCCCTACTTCCTCGCGGTGCGGATGGACCTCACCCTAGCCCAGCTCAAAGAGTCGGCGGCGCATATTGTGCAGCGGATCCCGGCGTCGGATGATCGCAAGAAGAGGGCAGTGGATGTGCCGAGCGAGTTTCTGTCGCCATTATACTCTTGTGTAAGTCTCTTGCTACTTGTTCACTTCGTGGTCTGACTGGTATAGTTCGGGGAGGCGTATATGCGGAATCGCATTCTGAGCCATCCGGATGTAGGCCAGAAATGGTATCCAGAGCTGTATGAAAAGTATTCCAAGCAGGTATTGACATAGACGGCCAATATATTACTACGATCCTCTGCTATTCAGTAGGCTAAGACAGGCGACGATTATTTCTCAATTGGGCTGATTGCGCCCCCATTCCGCATGCACGAATCAGACAGTATTCAGCAGGTTACGCGAAGGCCTTGCAGGATCAGCATCCAAAGAAGACATCAGACTGGCCAGTAGACATGGCTTGGCGCTTTAGTATCAGCAGCTAGTCCGCTAGTCGTGCAGCTAAGCATGGATGATGGCCATGACTGAAATCCTCAGCCCGGTCAGCGGGTCTGTGCTCGAGTCGCAAATAATGGATAAATATTACACCTCCCACCCTATTTCTCCTGTCATCATACGATCTCCAAGAAATCCACCAATATGGCCAAACTGGCTGCCCTCGGACTGCTGCTATCGGCAATCCCCGCGTTGGCCGTCATCGCGACCGTGAATTCCCCCTGTGTGTCCATCTGCGGAGGCACCCAGAAGACGGTCAACGACGAGCTGATCTGCAACGATGGCGATTACAATTCCACGGTCAAGGGCCTGACGATGAAGAACTGTCTCCTGTGCGAGAGTACCAGTACCACCTACTCGAACCAGTTCGACAGTGACATCTACTGGTTCATCTGTGCGCTATCCCTTGATTCACACCACATACCACACAGCGGCACATACTAATGATATGGCGTAGTCAACCAGAAATACACAATCCAGGTCTGCGTCTACGAAAATTCCGCCTCGGCCTCGCTCTCCCCCTGCGAGTCGCAATGTCTCCCCCTAAAACCCGTCTTCGAGACCCTCTGGTGGGACAGGAACGTGTCGCTGTACAACTACTGCACCCAGAACAGCAATGCCTTTCCCACATACGCGAGCGGCTGCTCCGAGTGCTTGAGGGCCAAGGCTGCCTCCAAGGTCCTGGGCAATTTCATGGATAACATGGTGTCAGCGTGCAAGACACAGCCGAACGCGACCAAAGAGGAGACGGTGACTCTGGCTCGGCCGTTGTTTGATTTGAGCGTTGAGTCGAATGCGACTGCGACGAGTACGGCTGCCACGACAGCGACGGGGACGGGTACGCCTACGTCCTCTCCGACTTCTACATCATCATCCTCAGGGCTATCGGCGGGTGCAGCAGCGGGAATTGGGGTTGGCGCTGGAGCTGGCGTCATCCTCGTCGGGGCGTTGATATGGGTTCTGTTCCGGCGACGACGTCGCGCTGCACAACAACCCCATTCAATGTATCCTCCTGCTGCTTCAGGAGGTCAGGAATATGCTCAACCGATGCAGCAAGAAGCGCCGCATGCGTCTGGATATACTGTAGAGAGGAATCCTTCGAGGTTGGTGGAGGTGCCGGACACAAATGGGCAAAAGCCAGGAGGGACATGGGCGGCAGAATTACCATCGAACCACTAATAGATTGCCAAGTAGATGTAAGAATATCAATTGAACAATGACTTTGTGAGTGTTGGTAATTCTGACTGCGCCCTCTCGTGTTGATTACTGATCGTTCTGGGCATCAGCCACGGCAATGCGGGGTATTTGATCTCCATCTGCATCCTTCAGCTCTATTTCATCAACCACTATTTCTCTATTACAGTCAACATGATTTCCGAATCTGCTATTACTGCTCTCAAAAACCAACTGAGGTCGGCCAAGGTCTACACTCCCGACTCAGAAGGCTATCACAATACCCTCCAGCGATGGTCCGACACCGGCTCTAAACCAGCGGTATGCCTACGCCCCTTGCCTCCAGACAAGCATCATTCTGAGGGTTGACAACAGGGAATTGTGGTCATGCCGAGTGATGCCGAGGATGTTCGTGCTGCTCTCCTCTGGGCCCAAGAGCACCATATCGACCTCGCTGTCAAAGGTGGCGGCCACTCTGTCGCTGGCACCAGCTCCTCCGACGGTGGCCTGGTGATTGACCTGTCCCTCATGAAATCTGTCTCCGTGGACCCAGCTGCCAAAACTGTTACGGTCGGCGGTGGCGCCACCTGGAAGGAAGTCGACGAGGCCGCTGCCGAGCACGGGCTGGCCGCCGTGGGAGGCACCGTCAACCATACAGGTGTCGGCGGCCTGACCCTAGGCGGTGGATATGGCTGGCTCAGCGGCCAGTACGGCCTCACCATCGACAATCTGCTGTCTGCAACGGTCGTCCTGGCCAACGGACAGATCGTGACAGCGTCCGCGACGGAAAACGCCGACCTCTTCTGGGGCCTCCGCGGCGCCGGGTACAACTTCGGCGTCGTGACCAGCTTCACCTACCAGGCCCACGAGCAGCCCAACCCCGTCTACGCGGGGCTGCTGGCCTTTCCCCCAGACAAAGTCGAACAGGTCATCGAGCAGCTCAACCTAACCCTCGAGAACCCGGACCCCCGCGGCGGCGCCATCTGCATCTTCGCACAGCCCCCCGGCGCCCCCGTCCCCATGGCCAACGTGATCGTCTTCTACAACGGCAGCCAAGAGCAAGGCGAGAAGCGCTTCGCGGGTCTGCTGGCACTCGACCCCGTCGTCAACACCACCGCCATGATCCCCTACTCCCAGCTCAACGCCTTACAGAACCCAATGGCCACCTACGGCGGCCGCAAATCCTTCAAGGGTGTCTTCTTCCACCCGCCGCTGGCTCCGTCGTTTGCGCGCAGTATGCTGGACGACCTGACGGCCCGGCTGCAGGCGGAGCCCGACCTGGCTGCCTCGGCCCTCCTGCTCGAGTTCTACGATATGCGCGCTATCTGCGCGGTGCCGCGCGAGGCGACGGCGTTTGCCAGCCGCAGTAGTACGCAGAATGGACTGATTAACCTGCGGTGGACGGATGCGCGCAAGGACGGGGAGCACCGGGCCTGGGCGCGGGAGCTGCAGGCGCGGTGGAAGGCCGAGTTGGACGCCAGGGTGCAGGAGGGGGTCCCGCAGTACATCAACTATGCCGAGCGTAAGTCTTCACCCCTTGCAACAGATGACGAGTGCTAATGATGTTAGCGGGTGACTCGGTGGTGAACAACATCTACGGCGAGAATCTGGGGAGGCTGCAGGAGCTCAAGGCCAAGTACGATCCCAACAATGTGTTTCATAAGATGCACCCGATCAGTCTGTAGACGAGTGTTTATAAATAGGAGCATGCACTACATAATCATATACTTGACCGTCTTGACAGAAGTCCACCCCTCCAGCGCCTCCTCGCCCATATCCCTACCGAAACCGCTCTCCTTGACGCCTCCAAACGGCGCGTTCGCGCTGAGCATCGCCCACGCGTTGACCGTCACCTGGCCCGACTCCAGTGCCCTGCTCACCCGGTGCGCGCGGTTCACGTTATTGGTGAAGATCGCCGCGCTGAGGCCGTGCAGGGTGTCGTTCGCCTTGCGGATGACTTCCTCTTCAGACGAGAACTTGGCGATACTCTGCGTCAATCAGCATTAGCACGTCTCCTTCTGTAGTAGGTAAGGGTAGGTGCTTACCGCCACCGGCCCAAAAATCTCCTCCTTCATAATGGCCGCATCCTCAGCCACATCCGCAAACGCCGTATTCTCCACAAAGTACCCATTCTCGCCGACCTTCTCCCCTCCAAACAGCAGCTTCGCTCCCGTCTCCTTGCCCTGCGCAATATACCCCAGGATCCTCCGATGCTGGGCCCCATTGACGATCGGCCCCTTGGTCGTCGCGGGGTCCAGCGGATCACCAACCACCCCGGGGTTTTCTTTCGATGCACGCACATACGCCTCGAGGAACTTGTCGTAGATCGTATCCTGGACGTAGATGCGCGATCCGGCCGCGCAAATCTGCCCGTTATTCGCGGTGATGCCGATCCGCGTCCAGAGGAGCGCGTTGTCCAGGTCGCAGTCGTCGAACACGATGGAGGGGCCCTTGCCGCCTAGCTCCAGCGAGACCTTTTTCAGGTTCGTCTTGGCCGCTGCGGCGAGGATCTTCCGACCGGTAGCGCTGGAGCCCGTGAAGGAGACTTTGCGGATGGAGGGGTGCTCGGCTAGGCTTTGGCCTGCGGGGAGGCCCAGGCCAGCGAGGATGTTGACGACACCTGCGGGGAAGCCGGCTTCGATGATGAGTTGTGCGAGCTTCTGCCCGTACAGAGGGGAGTTTTCGGAGGTTTTGATGATGAGGGAGTTGCCGGTTGCTAGGGCCGGGGCGAGTTTCCAGATTGTGATCATCCTGGGCACTATTAGCTACTGTTCGGTATGGTTTGAGTGGAGGGGACGTACAGAGGGGCATTCCACGGGACAATGGCTGCGCAGACACCAAGTGGCTCGCGGAAGGTATACCCCACTCCCCCCGGGATCTCCAGAGTCTTCCCATCGATCTTATCGGCCCAGCCGGCGTAGTACCGCAGGTTTGCAACTGCCTGGGGGATGTTCATCCCCATGCTATCGGTGTAGAGGATTCCTGCGTCGACAGCCTCAAGACTGGCGAACTCCTCGGCATCACGCTCGACCAGGTCAGCGAGCTTGAGGAGGAGCCGGCCGCGCTCAGGGCCGGGGGTTGTCCGCCAGGTCTGGAAGCCGGTGGTGGCTGAGGTTACGGCGCGTTCGACATCGGCGGCGGTAGCGGCGGAGATGGTGCCGAGGGTGCTTCCTGTTGTTGGGTTCTCGACGGTGAGGGTCTCGTTGGAGGATGAGGGGGTGAATTCGTTGTGGATGAAGAGGCCGGTGGGGACTGTCTTGTTAGTGTGTGTATAGTCTCCTATGGAGGGTATAGGTACCGGTAATTTGGCGGCCAGCGGCGCCAGTGACAGTGATTGTGGACATTTCGACGGTTTTCTTCAATTAAACTAGAGAATGGAGAATCCTATGAGGGGCAGCTATGAGGGACGGCATGTTTATATCTCCCCCTGCTGCTCGGACCGTTCCAGCTTATTCCGAATGAATTCCGAGTGGCAGCGGGAAGATCAGCAACGGCTGTCATAGACTCTAGCCTAAAGGACACTAACTACCGTTGATCAGGAAGGTGGGGGGATAATCCCAATGTAGTAGAGTTATTAAAAGCGAAGGCTTGTTATCGCGAGCAATCAGAATCACCATATGAACCAGCGGTCTGCTAACAGGCTTGGCAATCCGTTTCGCCTCTTAATAGGGGTTCTGCATCTAACCCGGAATGTATAGAGAAGAAAATAGGGGCTAAAATGAATAGGGGAGGTAGAAGAGAGGCCATGTGGCAGAAGATAGCATTTCTAGTCTGAGCATTGCATTCTACACTGTTTTAATGTGCAGGCAGGCACCCCGCAGTATCTACATGTATGGCTAACAACTGCAATCCATTACCTGAATGAATTCTACACCTATTAATATTCATCTGATCATGTATGCTGCTGAGCCTCAAGTTTTCATTCATTCTCATCCAACGATTTTCTGTGCCGCAGCTTGAGTAGTAGTCGCCTGATGAACAGTAACAGCCTTGTGGTATACAGCCTCGTTCGGAGGAATATATATCCAATCCAGAAATCAAGATAGTACAACAGAGCAACTACAACTTATCAGACCTATCCATACACTGTCATATCCCTGACTGTAGCAATATGCAATCCATGCAATCCATCCCATTCAACCCTAACCCCTTCCTCCTGTTCAATATGAGGCACTTTGCCAAAGACGCTCGCCCAAGGTACCTCTTTCGGGTCTACGCTCCGTAGTCCGTACTCAGCAGGGGAGAGCAGCGCATACGCTGTCCGATCCCCGGCAGCATTGAACAGTCCTGATGAGCAAATGAATGATGTATTCGCCATGGCACCCTTCGAAGCAGCAAAATCGCTCAAAAATCATCTGAATTGGAAGTGCGATGCCAATTGCAATCTGATGAGCTGGACTACCTCTTTGCTCTTTGCACTGCAGTACGGCCTCTATCGCCATCAAAAGGATGACGATCGTCCTGCATTCGAGGATATTTTCTTACTCATGATTGATACACGCGATTTTCCAGAATGGACCTTCATCAAGGATTTGGAGGCTGTTAACGCTTTGAATGATTATGCGATGCGGTAGATCGGACATTGGGATGATTACCTGGCCTGTCGGAACACTGCTTATTTCGGAGAGTATCTCTCCCAAGGGGCTTTGAAAATCCACAGACGATGTGAGGAGGTCAGCTTCCAGAAGCTGATTGATCTGGGTCTCTTCGAGTTGCTCCCTCCGCTTGCTGTTGAGGCCGAATGGGAGAAGTGGGCGAGGAGGGCAATTGAGCTTCGTCAGCCATTTTACAGAGGAGAAATTTCGAGTCCTGTCGCGAATGAAGTGGAAAGAGCTGTTCGGATTGCGGGGGATGGCTTTGGAGGCCGCTGGACGTTTCCTGTTGCTGCTATGTTGCTTGCATTCAGGCCTCGTGCGGATGATCAGGTCATTCTTGAGGGATTCAAGGCAGAATTTTCAGGTAAGGTGATCCTAGTATGTCTGGGAGATACTAATGAGAGCAGAGGATAAGATACGAGAGTTGTCGTTGCATGATATCCAGATTGATTGTCATGTACTGCCTGATGATCGTGACGGCCTGCCTGAGCTCGTTCAATTTAAGAAGCTCGTCAATGACGTTCATCGCCATTTTATTGGGAAGGATATCAACTCGCTTTTTTGGACAGTACGGTGACAATGTAGATTCCTTTCATTGATATCTCTTATTGGACATTGTCTACTAGAATACGGTGAACAAGCGTGTCTGCCTATAAGATCAACCTACTGCTACATGCGATCTAGTAATCCCGCAGACATACTGTTAACATAGCTCATATCAGCCTAATACATCATCAGTACCTAAGCCCATGTGAATGGGAGAATCATCTCCACGTATCAGACACCGTCACGGTCGTTCCCGCACACCCAGCCGGCACCGTATACGACCGGTTCGGATCACTCTCCCACACGATGCTCCCATCCGATTCCTTCTTGAAGAATTTGTACTGAAATGAGGTGCCAACAGGCAAGGTCACCGTGGCATACCATTCAGGGTTCGACGAGGTGTATTTACTTGCCGACAGGGCGATCGCAGAACTAGTGTCCCAGTTGCCGAGTTGGCTGATCGAGCCGGTCAGGTAGATGGTCTCTCCGTAGGTAGTTGTGACGAGTTCCTCGAAGAGAATCGGAAGGGCTGTGGCAGATGCGCATGCTGTCGTTGTCGCCACTGTCGTGGTCTTGGTGGTACTGGTGGTGGTTGTCGCGATGGTGGAGATAGAATCACCGCAGAGGCCACTTCCACTGACCCATGACGAGGGCACAAGAACCCGGGGCAAACCGGATGCCATTGGCACGGCGAGGTTTCCGCTCGAGTCCACGGTTAGAGTAGTGCACGTATACATCTCGACAAGGGTGGCGCCGGCGGAGTAGCCCGTGCCGCTGAGGGAGAGGGTGTAGGAACTGCCCGAGGATCCCTTGTTACTGAGAACGGTGATGACTTGAGAGCCAGCGACTGAACCCTTGCGCATAGCGAGGGTGTTGGAATCATAGTAGAACGGGTTGTTCTATCGACGTTAGCGTGGAAAGCAAAGACGCGACCAGAAATACCTTGGATGTTATGTAGGCTGAGTCTTTGGAGATCGCTAGCTTGCGGATCTTGTTGGTAGAGGCGATCCAGCTGTACAGCGTGGCGCTGGTCGAGTATCCAGACAGCCAGACAGCCTCGCGATTGGCCGGGTCAGCGCCGCCGCTGTAATGCTGTTCCTGTCCTGCGTAGACAATGGGGATCCCATCGGAGAAGAACATGAAGGAGATGACATTCTTGGCTTGCGAATAGTCGCTCGTATAGCTGGGGAGGTTAGTCGTAGTCAGGAAAAGGAGGCAAGATCTTACGAGGCAAATCGGGGGTTATCATGGTTCTCGATAAAGTTGCCGAGCAAGGTGGGATCCGCACAGTCAGAGTCAACGGAGCTGATCATGTTGTAGAGATTGCTGATGCTGCCGCTGGTCGATTGAAACGCGTAGAGAAGTTGATAGTATCTGCTCTAGTCAGTATCAAATCCGCACCGAAATCATAATGCGTACATTGGATAGTTGAGTACACCATCCATGTAATTCTGGTATGGACAGGTATAGGAGGGATCACCCGAAAAGACCTCGCCGACACAGTAGACGCCAGCAGCGTCATTGTAGTCGGGCCAGAAGTCTTTCTCGACATGCTTCACAGTGTCGATGCGCAGGCCGTCGACTATCTCTGTCAGTATTCTTCATGCTCAGATACGGCTTACTGACTGGAGTAGTTGGCAACCAATCCCTTCACCCAATCATACCAGATGGTTCGCACTGCCGTGTTGGTCGTGTCAAGATCGGGCAGTGAGACAGTGGTGTCTCCCAGCCAGCAGTCCTCTACATTATTCTGGTTGTTGTAGTCGGAGATGAGACAGTATGTGTGGAAGTAGGTAGAGGAATCAAACGGAGTGAAGACACTGTAGTCTACCGAGTTTCCCGCTCCGTCGTAGCCCTAACCAGTCAGATTATAATGTACAACTAGAGAAAACGGCTTACCATATGGTTGGCGACCACATCGACCATCAAGTACATGCCACGCGCGTGCAGAGCGTCGGCCAGCTTTCTAAGATCTTGTGCCGTTCCATAGTTGGAATTGACCTCGTAGCTTCGTCGATTAGTACGAATCACAGATCCAAGAGGGGGCTCACATATTCTGCTGCCAGTACCCATGGTAGGAAGTACCATCGCCGGTGTTCTCATAGAACTGCTGAGTTACTGGGGTGATCCATATAGCAGTAAATCCCATTCCTTGAATGTAGTCGAGCTGACATCGTTAGTTTCGACCGCGGAATATGAGACAGTCGTACATGATTGATGATCCCCTGCCAGCTACCACCGCAATACAGCTGCAAATGTTAGCATGTACTTAAACAAGCACGGTAGGGCACAAACTCTTTGCGTGACATCGCAGGCAGCAGTTGTGGAATTGTCTTCTCGGCCAAACCGATCGGTCAGGAGGAAATAGATTGATTGACTGCGCCATTCGGCTGGGGTCAGAGCATGGGCAGCCTGTCCGAGCAGGCACAAGGACAGGGACAGCGGGAGGAGCGGTGAGATCCACTTCATCCTGGCAATATGCGCCTGCAGCTTGCCATCATGTCATACGAAGATTTCTCAACAAGAGTTGCAGACTTATATACCCTCGCTACAACTGGTGGGCAACTACAACTCCTTCCTAATACGCTACGGATGTCCAGTCCTGTGCATTCACAGTGACGATCATCCCAGCCCGTGGACTGATTAATATCTTCATCGCCGTGACTGCCGTCGGACGTGATGACGCGTGTTTCGACTCTCGCACCGATTGAGTTTGGCAATGCCGCATCTAAAGCCCTACGTTCACAGCAATAGGTTGGTGAGTCCGGCTCTAGGGAGGTAACTATGAGCCGGATCACGCGGGATTCCACTAGTGAGCTCGGCAGTTGTGCAGAAGAAACGCACGTAATCCGCGTGAAGGCTGCATACCACATGTTAGTGCAGAATCAAAGGGCTGATTCGTGGAATCGGCAGAGGAATTGTCGGCGAGCTGATCCCCACACCAGCTAAGCGTGTACTAATGAGTAAAAAGGGTTAGTGAGCAGTCTCTCCACATTCTGATGGAGGGATACTAGGTTAAACACGGCCTCATACATGTAGATGAAGAGACTGGCTGACAGTCTGGTCGTAGTTAGTTGTGGTGATGTAGAAGCCCTAGCTCTATGTCTTCGGATAATAGAACCGTCAAAGGATTCGCTTGCCACCGGAATTAGACAATTTAGATGAAAGAATGCCAGACGGAAGCTGACACGGAGCTGAGATCCGAGATTCGAGTGTCCATGCCCAACCGAAGCAGGGGGCGGCGCAATTGCGGGGAATCTTAATATCGACGGTTTCTTGGGTTTCTTCAGGCTTGATCCGAATTGGCAACTAGTCCGGCGCTATAGTAAATGCTCTGAATGCCTCATGGTCTCACCACTGTAAGCAGCGCCTGTTTCCGTGGGCCGACTTGGCCGATCGATTGGCGATTCTGGAGTCTACATATTGCCGAATCTTTCCCACAAGCCAAGTTGGGGTGAATACGGGCTGATGAGAGACCGGAGGCCCGTCTAAAGGCGGATGTTAGGCATGGAATGAGCCATTTCACCCGGCAGCGTTAGCTTCGGATAGAAGGACCAGTCGGAGCAGCGGAATAGTCCCTAAATTTCCGTGAAGGAGTTGCCTGGTGCTGCTATCCTATTGCGATTCGACCTCTAATGTCTCCCCCAGGATATCAGACCTATCGGGATCAATGGAAATCTCCGTCTCGACACAGGATCAAACTCACTATCACATGCGGAATCCATGTCCTCCCGTTGCAGACGGACCCCGTGGGGAACCTTGCTCTCTTGCATGCCATCTGGAGGCGTTGTCATGCTCTTGGGGGATACGCATATGCAGAAATCGTGAATTAGCTTGAATGAGATCACGGGTTCATTCCTCAGTCCAGTTAGATCCTCAAAAATGTTAAGAAAATAGCCCAGCAGAAGATACAAGAAATCCACTCACCGGAAATACATTCAAGACACACGACGACAAGACATGGAGAGTCAACATCTATAAGAAGGGGGATCACACCCCAGAGTTGGTTGCCCCTTGCGTCAGGATTCACAACGATCAGTCTCATCTCGTCCCCTTCACCCTCCTTTCGTCTCATCCTGTGCTTGCAATCCATCTGTCACCGAGCCATGCCTCGCCTTTCCTACGCGCTCTGTGCGCTGTCTCTCGGGCATGCTGCTATTGCAGCTCCTCAGTTATCCCCTCGTGCTACTGGCAGCTTGGACTCCTGGTTGGCTACTGAGTCTACTGTTTCGCTGAATGGTATTCTGGCCAACATCGGTGCCGACGGTGCTTATGCGAAGAGCGCTAAGCCTGGCATAATTATTGCCAGTCCGAGCACCAGCGACCCAGACTGTGAGAACCTTCCTGAACTGGCCCTGTCAAGCAATCATTGACATCTGTAGACTACTATACTTGGACGAGAGATGCTGCTCTCGTCACGAAAGTCCTGGTCGATCTCTTCCGCAACGGCAACCTGGGTCTGCAGAAAGTTATTACAGAATATGTCAACTCTCAGGCCTACTTGCAGACCGTTTCTACTCCGTCTGGTGGTCTTTCGAGCGGAGGTCTCGCGGAGCCTAAGTACAACGTCGACATGACTGCCTTTACCGGAGCCTGGGGTCGTCCTCAGCGCGATGGTCCGGCTCTGCGTGCCACCGCCCTCATCGACTTTGGCAACTGGCTGATTGTATGTTCCCTATACGAGCTCCGGGAAGCGTTGCTGACGTGCACAGGACAACGGTTACTCCAGCTATGCCGTCAACAACATCTGGCCCATTGTGCGCAACGACCTGTCCTACGTTTCTCAGTACTGGAGCCAGAGTGGTTTTGGTGAGTCCCGACTCTCTGCTGGAAATCTGTGCATCCATTACTGACGATTGATTCAACTTGACAGATCTCTGGGAAGAAGTGAACTCCATGTCCTTCTTCACCGTCGCTGTCCAGCACCGTGCCCTCGTTGAGGGAAGCACATTTGCTAAACGGGTGGGAGCTTCGTGCTCGTGGTGTGACTCGCAGGCCCCTCAGATCCTCTGCTACATGCAGAGTTTCTGG